AAAAAAATCTATTTCCGTGATCTCGTCTCTGACACACCAGTAAACCTGAGGCAACTAAAAATGGCCTCTCTCTGAGGAAAGCCTGTGTGACTCCAGTCTGACCCCGCTGCCTCCTCTCTCCTCCTTCACTGCTGCAGAGAGAAAGCAAGATTTAAGGCGGTGGTGAGCAAAACTAATTCATTCCAGCTGGAGGCGATGACTGCGTGTGTGTGTGTGTGTGTGTGTGTTTGCAAGTTAGGTATCTTTTGCTCGCAGTATAAACATGTGCATGCTCATCTACACACACTTGACTCTACATTTTTTCTCTGACAGACCATCTATGCTTGTGCATGCATCTCATATACAGTTGTGAACAAAAGTTTACACACACATGTAAAGACTGTGTGTATCATGGCAGTTTTGAGTTTCAAGTACTTGGTACAAGTTTCTATGATGAAATCGCTGAAACACAAGTATCTTCATCACAAAAAGAAGGACAAAACCTGCTCGGTCAAAAATATACATATAGCAATTCTAATATTTGGTGACATACCCAATGGCATCATTTTAACTTCAGTTATGACCACTCCTCTTGACAGAATTGATGCAATTCAACTAAATTTGTTGGCTTATTGTCACATATTTCAGCACAGTTCACAGATTCTTGATGGAGTTTAAATCAGGACTTTGGGGAGGCCGGTCTAAAACCTGAATTTTACACTGATCTAGCCATTTCTTGACCACTTTTGATGTGTTTGGGGTTATTGTCTGTTGAAAGATCCAACTGTGTCCAAGATCCAAACTTCTGGCTGACGATTTGGATTTTCCTAAAGAATGTATAGAAAATCTTCCTTCTTCATTACTACATTTACTTTGTGTAAAACACCAGTTCCACGGGCAGCAAAACAGCTCCAGAGCATAATACTATCACCGCCATACTTGAAAGTTGTTTTGGTAATCTTGGGGTTAAAGGCCTCACCTTCTCTCCTCCAAACATATTTCTGGTCACTGCGGCCAAATAGCTCCATTTTTGTTTTATCTGACATTTGTCCATGTGATCAGCAGCAAACTTCAGCTGATCTTTGAGGTGCCGTTTCTTCTTTATTGCACCTGCTTTTTGCTGAGTCTTTACCATTCTGACCAGTTCTCTCAGCAGCAGGTGATAGCTTGCACTTCCTTCCTAATTGTGGCAGTAACCCAACTGTACCATGCACTTCATACTTACAGTGGTTTGCACAGTGGATTTTAAGATCCGAAGCATCTTTGAAATGGCTTCGAGTGACTTTCCTGACTTGTTCAGTTCACTGATTTGCTTCTTCAGATCTGTACTCAGCTCCTTAGACTTTCTCACGGTAGTGTTTGTGGCTGAGTCTACCGAGTGTATCACATGGGCCCTATTTCAATTTCCTGAGACCTCAGCATCTTCTATAGCTAATCATAATCACTCATGAGGACCTAAGAGGCCATGCCACTAAGAAACGATAAGTAATATAGCTTTCTACATCACCAAAACTGATGATTCAAGTTGCTGTATGTATATTTTTGACCTGGAAAATTTTGTGATATTTCCAGAAGATCAATAATAAATCTATGAAAAAAACAAAATGCACAATTTGTTTTTTGTGACAAAAATGCATGTGTTTCAATCCTTCTGTCATAGAACATTAAGAGATGTAGGAATCACTGCCATGACACACATGGTCTGTAGAAGCGTGTGTAAACTTCTGTAGATACAAACAAAAGGCCTCCATGAAGCCATGTGGACAGTAGGCTGCCATTTCATCAATACGTATAATTCCCCTCTCTTCTCCTGGAAGGATAAGGTTACATCGATAGAAAGAGGAGAATAACAAGTAACACGCACACTGACAAGACATGAAAGCTAGCAGCAGGTGTTCAGGTCGTGGTGTCATACAGCAGGTCTGTGTCATTGTGTGTGTTTGGGCCACATCGCCCAGAAGAAGTCAATTGTTCAGGTCGTGTATGTATGTGTGTGAGAAAATCGCAGTTCAGATAATTATATGTCTGCCCGTCAGAAATGTAGCAACCAATGACATCCTTTTCCAACTTTCAGCTTTGACTCCACGTTATCTGTGGCACTAAGAGACCTCCTCGCGCCTGATTTCACTTGTATTTATGTATCTGTTCACTTGAGAGGTCGGAGGGTGAAGCTGAGGTTTATAACGTCCAAGCACATTGTATGCTAGACTGAACATACATATTATTTGACCTCTAACTCCTGATGATAGCCAGTCATTTCCTCCTGTGTATGCAGGCGAGAAGGCTTATGATTATAGGTTGTGATTAAAGAACGCAATGCAGGAAGAAAAAAAAAGGCTAATAGTGCAGACTAACACAGGCTATCTGTGAGGTATCCTCGAGAGAGAGGGAGGATGGAGACTGAGCTGCAAAAAGAGAGAGAGAGAGAGAGAGTGAAGGCGGTGGTCAACTGAATGTCCTAGACTAAAATAGATATGCTACCAGATGGAGAAACGAGAAGCGAGAGAAAAGGAAAAGAGAAACAAAATGGCAGAGATAACATGGAGGGAGAAAGGAGGGGAAAAAAATCATGCAAGATAAGACTGAGGTTTAAAAGAGAAGCGAGGCTGTGAGACATTTAGCTCTACAGGGAGCAGAGAAAGACGTGGACGGTGGGTTGGAAGAGGCACAGCTCAGAAGCAGACACATCATTGCACATTTAGGACTGGGTAGTTTGGTTCAAATCAATTAATATATTACAAAGATAGTCTTTTCAGTACTGACACAGTGCGTCACTGTATGGATAACTAATGCAAAATGTGTCAGACTGTTATGCACATCTCTTATGTGAAACAAAAGTTTACAATGACTAATGGGTCAGAGCACTACAGTGCAAGGATTCTATTGGAACCGCTGTGACTATTATACCTTCTTTTTCGCCGAAAACAAATGCAATTTTTAAGACCTAAACATGCTAAAAAACTCATCAAAATTTGCACACACATCAGGACTGCCGAAAAATTCAATACTTTAAAGGAATTGGGCATGTCAATGGCAAAAATGACTCCATAGCGCCCCCTAGAAAACTTCAACGCAGTTCCGTCGGAAGCACGTTTGGCGTAGGCCAACGAAATTTGGTAGGCATACGTAGCAGGTCTTGATGCACAAAAAAGTCTGGGTGCCAACATCGTACATCCAAAAGGAAGTCCGCCATTTTGGAAAAACAGCGAGCATTTCTGCAATTTTCCCTCATTTTCAAAATCTATCTCCTCCTAGGTAGAAATGTTGTACACATGAAATTTTGCCAGCACAAACTACAAGAAATGGTGATTAAAAGTTATTAAAACACTCTGCAAAAGTCTGATGGCCCGCAGAATTTGACAAAACGTCATTTTACAATTTTTCCTGTGCCAGTGACCGCTGTCTTGTTCATTTGTGCTTGTCCCTGAAGACAACTGCATGATCACCGAGGGAAGCCCACCAAGGCTACATTCGACCGGAAGGATCTTTATGTCATGGCATATCATTGTCCACCTCACGTACTCTAAGTGTATTTCCACACTACTGTCTGTACTGCAAACTGAAATTCTGGATGGAAATCCATGACTAAGTTTCAACCCCCTCCTACAAAAAGCCCTTGTTGAGTTGAAGTCATTCATTGAGTGCGTTTGTCTTTTTTTTCTGTCTCTATGCGATGAAGGTTTCATAAAAAGTTAGTCAAATGTTATCTACATGTTTGTTGGTGTCATTTTAAACTTCTTCTTCTGGGATACTTTGCAAACCAGCAACTGGAATGTTTTTTTTTCATATATATATGCTGCTAGAATCTTTTTTGACATGGGCAGCTAGAATTTAATGCAATTGTTCTGCTGTTAGAATAATGGAATATGCACTTTTTGACAGTTGCAATGTTGCATCCTGTTAAAATATCTGGAATACGCACAGTTGACAGTGACAATGTTATACAGCACTATGTTGAAGTAGTTGGAAAATACACTTCTTGAGAGTGGCAGCTGTCCTGAACTGCTATTAAAACTGAATTTCCCTCTGGGATTAGTAAGGTCTGTCTAAGTTAGGGGTAGGCAATATGGCAAAAATATCGTATCACGATTTTTTTTTTTATCATAAAATCATGATTTCGATTTTATCACGATCTTACATGTATTTTTGAGACTAAGTGGGGCTGGACCACAGATCACTCGTTGCGAAAACTGGACGTTCAATCTTTTCTCGGCATTAAGTGTAGAGACGTGGAATAGCAGTGTTGGAGAAGTATTTTCGAGTGAGCAGCTCGTACCGTGGGTCAATTACTTTGAGCAGGCATTTGAACCCCTCGTTTTCTACTGTCTTGAACGGAACTATATCTTTGGCAAGATAAAAGGTAACTGCTCCTGTTACCGCTTTTCACCGCTTGCTTGTGTTCTCATATGGAGTGCCTTTATCAAATGCTTGTGTTATGTTGTCTGTCTGGGTCCAGCTGCTGCCTCTGGCTGCGGTGCTGCCAGCAGTCCCCTCGCTGTTTGGCTCTCAGCATACTGTTTAGGGTGCTTTCTCTTCAAGTGATTAAACAAGTTTGTCGTGTTGCCATCCGATGTGCGAACCGCCTGTGCAAACTTTGCAAATTACCTTTGCCAAAACAACTCCATATAATGGAATGGAATGGAACATTGAACATTTCATGAGACCTGGTGTGTGTGGCGATTTTGGTGAGTTTTCGGATGTGTTTAGGCCCTCTAATTTGTAAATATAAAAAATAATCATAGCGGTTCCAACAGGGTCTTTGCACTGTTAGTGCTCAGACCCTAATAACAGCGTTTCTTTCACCAATGCACTGCATGGATTTTGCTATTTAACGCCATTTGATCCTTGCATCCATGATTAGCGCAGAGATTTGTGAGGGCTGATGGGGCAAACAAAATCAATGAGGAGCCTCTTGCAGAATCTTGGATATTGTTTTCTGATATTACAGATTCCATATCGGTTTTATCTTTAAAAGACAGCTTTCATTATGCTTTAAACACAAACTCAACACATTGCAATGGTAAATGACTACAGTTTAAAGTTTTTATTAAACAATAAATGCTGGATGTATTGTACAGTATTGTTTGTATCAGGTGTGTTTTTTGTGGAGTTTTTCTTCACTGGAACCGAGGATCCAAAGATAGACAATGTCAGATGCTGTATCGATTCTGAAGTCCTCCGAGACGCAGCCATGGTTTTTTGGCTTTGTAAATAAACTTGACAGGACTCGACTGGAGCCACGCTGAATAAGAAAGCAGCTTCGGTGTCAGTGAACGCGTGCTTCCTTTTTGGCACCTTTGAAAGCTTTGTGTGTTCGTGTATGACAGGTGAGTGTCAGCGTGAGACGGACGGTTACGTGGATGTGTGCGCGTCGCTCTGTCTCTGCGGAGCTTCAGCCTTCATTTTGAAGCTCTCCCAGTAGGCGGAGTCCTCGTCTGTCAGAGGTGAGGCTGAGGCGATGAGCTCACCGAACGACAGCAGCGTAAATGTGGACGGAGGAGGGAGAAGTGCAGGGAGAGGCTGGGAGGGAGGGAGAAGAAAGTTAGGAGTAGAAACTATAGAGTGTAGCATCCAATGGTGCTGTGTAAATTAATTTCAATATTAAGTTATTAATTAGCCTCTAAAATGACTGAAAATGACAGAATGGTCAGAGGTACCTTGTCTGAGCAACAGCTAAAAATCCCCAATTTTTTTATTTTTTTGAAGACTATTCAACCAAGAAATGTTTAATATTGTTATTGAATTTATTTATTTATTTATTTAGTCTGTCTCTGGGTGTGGCCCTGCGATGGACTGGCGACCTGTCCAGGGTGTCCCCTGCCTTCGCCCTGGGTCGGCTGGGATGGGCTCCAGCCCCCCCGCGACCCTAGTGAGGATTGAGCGGTGCATAGATAATGGATGGATGGATGGATGGATTTATTTATTTATTTTAACACTTCTTTAAAATGATCAAAGTTGTTGTATATAATACTGTATCTATTGAAGAGCCCAACCAATACTGGAATTTTGGGGCCAATATCGATTTTAGCGAGTCAAAAATTCTTATTGATCCATCGGTTGATATTGTTTATACAGTGCTTAACAAATTTACTAGACCACCATCAAATGTAAGGTTTATTCCACAGCTGCCCTAAATTAACAGCATTGGTAATTACCGAAATATTTTTCTATGTTTCTGTAATGGTTAACACACCTGTATGTAGAAGCTCTTTAATCAAAATGGTATTTTTAATGCTAAAATATAATTACTATTGTTATCCATGCATTTTCAAATGTACTGTTTTACACAAAAAACCAAAAATATGAAAGCACATTATCATTTCTTGATTAAGATGTCAAATAATGTTTACTTGCGTTCCTGAACAGAAAAAAAAAAGTTTTAGTGGTTGAATGTTATGCTTGATTAATGTCAGACTTCAGTTTGTTAAGCACTGTATACATGTTGGATTTATATTGAAAAGCGAGAATGATGAGTTCATTGTTTTTTTCACTTTCAGGCAATGTCTTTCACAAGCTAGCTGGCAGCGCACCATGAAGACACCACTTGACTCCACACCACTGTCTGCTTCGGCTGTGATGCATGCTCTGCTATATGTGCTGCATACAGGGGTAGGTATTGTCGACAGTGGAGTCAGAGCTGCTTTGTTGGACAAACTGTGATGAAACGGTTTCTGAATTACTCTAATAAAGCAAATACTTCTCTATTATGTTCTGCAAAAGAAAGTTATCGCTATACATGGATGACATATATTCTTGATACAGATATGTACGGTCATGGACAAAAGTATTGGCACCCCTGGAATTTTTCCAGAAAATACACCATTTCTCCCAGAAATTGTTGCTATTACAAATTTTTTCGGTATACACGTGTTTATTTCCTTTATGTGTTTTGGAAAAAACACAAAAAAGCCAAAATGTGCATAGTTTTACACAAAACTCAAAAAATGGGCCGGACAAAATTGTTGGCACCCTTTTGAAACTATGGTCAAATCATTTTATTTCAGGCATGTCATGCTCGTGTAAACTCACCTGTGGCAAGTAACAGGTGCTGGCAATAAAGAAATCACACCTGAAGCCAGTTTGAATGTATAAAAGTTTACTCAGCCCTTGTGTTGTGTGCCTGTGTGTGTGCTATCCCGCGTGTGGAGGAGAGAGAGGAGCTGTGAGGTGTGTGTGGAGTTTTGAGGCGCAATTTTGTGGAAATATGTGCACTCTCTCGGTTTTTCGAGCCTCTCTCGAGATCTTTTGGTTTTTTTTTGTCCTGTGTGTGTTATACTCTTGTGGTTTTTATCCCCTGTGGCTGTGTGTCTTCTTTTTGTGTGTGGGGAGAGGGGGGGACTTGCGGAAAGAATGCAACGCAGGATAGTTAGAATGGTGGATAAACATCCTCAGTCAGCTTCCACACAAATTCAGGCTGTCCTGGAGACTCAGGGTGTAAAAGTGTCAGCTCGGACCATAGGTCGTCATCTGAATGAGAAGAAGCGCTATGGCAGGAGATAGAGGAGAACCCCACTGCTGACAAAAAGACATAAAAAAGTCAGACTGGAGTTTTCAAAAATGTACCTGAGTAAGCCTCAGTCCTTCTGGGAGAATGTTTTGTGGACAGATGAGACTAAGGCAGAGCTTTTTGGAAAAGCACATCATTCTACTATTTATAGAAAACAGAATGAGGCCTACAAAGACAAGAACACAGTACCTAGAGTCAAACATGGTGGAGGTTCAAAGCTGTTTTGGGGTTGTTTTGCTGCCTCTGGCACTGGGTGCCTTGACGGTCTGCAAGGAATCATGAAATCTGGAGACTATCAAAATATTTTGGGCTGCAATGTAGGGCCTAGTGTCAGAGAGCTGGGTCTGCGTCAGAGGTCATGGGTGTTCCAGCAGGACAATAACCTGAAAATAGCACTAAGAAATGGTTAGACTCAAAGCACTGGAGAGTTCTGAAGTGGCCAGCAATGAGTCCGGATCTAAATCCCTCTGAACACTATGGAGAGATCTCAAAATTGCTGTTGCAAGAATGCACCTTTCAAATCTGAGAGACCTGGAGCAGTTTGCAAAAGAAGAGTGGTCCAGAATTCCATGTGAAAGGTGTAAGAAGCTTGTTGGTGGTTATAGAAAGCGACTGGTTTCAGTTATTTCTTCCAAAGGGTGTGCAACCAAATATTGAGTTGAGGGTGCCAACAATTTTGTCCAGTCCATTTTTTGAGTTTTGTGAAAAATTTTGTAAATGTTGGCTTTTTCTTCTGCTTTTTTTGTGTTTTTCGAATGCACATACAGGAAATAAACATTTGTATATTGTAATTGCAACTGCAACAATCTCTGGTAGAAATGGTGTATTTTCTGGACAAATTCCAGGGGTGCCAACACTTTTGTCCATGACTGTATCTGTCGCAGGTTAAAATTGTCCTACCGGTATTGGTAAGAGTCTAATTCATGGTGTGCCTTATTCATTGTCAAATTGTTTTTCTACTATTGTTTAAGGCCATCTCTGATTTGCTTGTAACGTTTCACCATTAAATGTTACAATATACAAAGGTATCAGCATGTTTTTACGCACACTTAAATAGTCTCAAATCGTCTCTGATTATGTGTGAGTTGAAATATGAAAAAATTGAAGCCGTCATGTAAAGTCCCATCTTTGAGCTCAGATTAACAAAAAGAATTCATAATGCAGATTTTCAATATGCAAAAACATGCTGAAAGTGAGTTATCAGGCAAATTAAACAATAATAATAATAATAATAAAATACATTTTTAAAAAAGCTATCTTGGAAAATATTTATATATTTGATGTCAAGTTAAAATTTCACAAATATATATATGTAAATATCCATATTTAAATATGCATTCAGTCAGGCTTAGAGGATGATGTTGGTTTGCAGAACTGATTACAAGTTTACAAAACTCTAAATACAGTTTTTGCACTCAAAGTAGCAGTCATAAATGTTATGTGTCCTTACTGCAAATCCTGGTATGTCTGCTGGTCCGAGTGCTACGGCAACATGATGTTCAGCATCCAGCAAGCTCTCCTGTAGGATCACATATATACGCAATCAACACATAAATACAGAATATAGCTTGCATCCGACACTAAAAAAAAATCACCTTCTGTGCAAATTTAAAGATTCACACAGTATGACAAATAATGCATATGTTTGTGCATTCTTGTCAGACATTAGTTCATACATTCATGCTGCATGCGTCCACTCATGTGGTGTCTCACTAAATTGCAGAAAGATAAACCAGTCATACTTCCCAAGCAAAAACGGTGCCTGTGATACCATGAAGCACTGAGCGTAAATGTATTTTAAAAAATGCCAACGGGCATGCTGAAGAAGTAAAGTTACTCTACAGCATACATGATTAATACATGTGGGGAAAAAATCTGATTGATGTCCTGTTTCCAGATTTGTTTCAAAGAATCTATGCAGAAAACTCACTATAAATAATACTGATGATACTGATACTGTCACATACATTTCTCAGCTTGTACATGTTGACTGCAAGTTGTCCAATGGAGGCTTATTTGTGCTAAAAAAAAAAAAAACATCCATTAAATGTTTTTGGTTTGGAATTCCCAATCTATAACCTCTCCTCCTAATGCCAGTGTTACGCTAGAACTACCTCCACAATTTGTAAAATACATTTGGACAGAAACGGCAACAAGCTGAGTCTGTGGGAGTAACAGGTGTGTGTATAGTAGAGGCTTAGTTCAAACAAAAGTCAAAGAGTAAAGGAAAGATCAAACAAGCGAGAATGGAATATAAGCAGAAAATGATGTTTATTACATAAAATGATCATATTTAACATGAGCAGGGCATCATTTTGCATTTAAAAGTCGACTGTCTTTGTCAGTGTGTTTTTAAATGTGTTATTATTGGCTTCGGTGTCTGTGCTGGGGGTGACATCACCAGAGGTCAGCAGGAAATAATAAGTCTTATATCTGCCCTCTGATCTGGCCAATCAGCACACAGCGAGCCAGAGGTCACTGCTCATCTCACCTCGCTTAGAGCTTCGAGTGTGCCTTTTAGGATATGAGACAAATCCTAAGATTTAATTCAGTTGGAGTTCACCTGACCTCTCGAGGTGACCGCAATCATTCCTTGATCACAAACGACGTGTGGTGTTGTTGTTGATAAAGACGTTCAAGAGAGATGACCAGCTTCACTTCAAAGGTGTGTCAGTGCAGCCTAGTCTTTGTGCAATTACACTTCAAAGTATGAAGCATTTAAAAGACGATATTTTAGGTCATCCTTGGGAATATCATCCTTATTTTTCATTTTACAAAACAAAAACTTGAGTCTCGCTAAACGTGATGAAAATAACTGATATTCAGGGTTGAGGACAAATTCTATAAAACAATCTATAATATACAGTTCTGTAGTGGTAATTCAACACTTAATTAGGCCTGATGTTTTCATATAATGACTGTACTGTACTGTTATGACCATATTTCCGTTTATTGCTTGTATTTCTGGAGAGAGTAACTATGCACATTGTAGGGTTCTTAGAAAGACTTGTTAGTTCTGTGTTTAGACTAGATGTTGGTAAATGGAACCATTTATGTACAATAAAAGACAGGCGAAAAATCAACAAGTACGACAGATTTCTATTCTTTATTATTATTGGCAATAAATAATGCAACTAATAACTTTTATTACCCATTAAACTGCTTTTCTGTGCAGCGTTTTCTCTGGGTTTTTCAGGTGCTCTGGCTTCCTCCTACAGTCCAAAGACATGCAGGTTCGGTGAACTGTCGATTCTAAATTGCCTAGAGGTGTGAATGTGAGTGTGAATGGTTGTGTGTGTGTGTGTGTGTGTGCGTGTGTGTGTGTTAGCCCTGTGATTGACTAGCGACCTGTCCAGAGTGAACACCGCCTCCCTCCCTGTGTGAGCTAGGTTAGGCTCCACTACCCCCAAGACCCTCTAAAGAATAAGCGTGTACAGCTGACGGATGGATGGATGATTCCGTCTATGAAGTGTCAGGAAAAAATACAGCCTTCCAGAGCCCACACTAACGTATAGTCAACCATAATACATTGATTGTATGTGATATCCCTCTTAAAATGAGCACTGATAACAGAGAATTTCTCAAAGATTCATGGTGTTATACCTTTGTTGTACTGCACTGTAGACATTTCGGAGTTCTCTCGACTTCTAGCCATGGCTGCGCTCTTTCCATAGAGGTGCAGGACTTTATATTGGGGTGAGAAAATAGCCACTAGTTTGATCTTTAACCACGCGTTGCATTTTAAAAGCTCACTATTTGTCTTTAGAAGCCAATTTTAATATGAAAAATAACCTGTAATTAAAGGTGCTTATGGATTACAAAGTACCACATTCCTTCCTGAAAGTCTTGTATTACTGCTTACCTCTATCCTCTTCACCACTTGCAGTTGTACAGATCCTCTCTACTGTATGTTGCTGCTACTTCACCATATACCAGCGATCGAAATAAGCTCTGTTATTCCCCGGTGTGAAAACACAAGACACTAAAACAGCATTAGGCCTCCGTGACCTCGAGAGAGATGGAGAGAGGATAGGAGAGGGGAGGTAACATCGAGCTTTTCAAACCAGTGGTAACCTTTTAGCGGTCCCTTGTTAATCCATCTGCCACTGGGCATGGAGGGAAGACTGAGAGGAGCGGGAGGTGTTATAAAGAGGAGGCATACTGGGGGAGGAGAGGGGGCAAAAGAAGGAGAATAGTGATCGAAGAAAGGTAAGGGCTACTGCAGGAAATCATCACAGTAGGAAGAGGATTAAACATGGGAAATAGAAGAACAGATGATTCCTCTGCTCTGACGTAAAGATGCACTCTAATCTCTTGTCAGTGTGGTAGGAAGGCTGGAAGGGCACTTGAGAGCCCCCTATGGCAATCACTCGCGTGCATTTCTCTGTAATACCACCTGTGATTTACTTTGCAGATGCTCTCGAGGGGCAATCCACTGGAGAATGGAGCACACAGCCGAGCATCCGACCCCTGTGTTAAGCTCACCAGTTTCCCTGAAGGCTGCTTAAAACCTGTTCTTTCCATATTTTTGTTCTAAATCACATGCTGAAAACTCCACGAACAGACAGCTGACAATACAATCTCATAACATACAGCCAGTAGCGATTTTGCACTATTCTATATCATCTCGCCACGTCATTTATTTTCTGCAGCACTGAGCTAGTAATGTATGTGTGTCTTTTGCATTTAGCCTGAAGGAGGTGCTGTTATAAAAATCTCGGGAATGAACGTTTTCAGAATCCAAATTAAATAGTGAAAATGTGAATAAAGCCCATTTTAAACAAGCTATGAGATGAGAAGGAAACCCAGAAACTAGAGCAGTTTGGCACAGTGCCGTTTAAATCTGGCAACTGATCAGGAGGACAAAACACAGGAGAGAGTTTTAGTCTGCAAGCTGATGAAAACTAAAGAGATTGAAATGCTGTGTGACTTATCAAACATTTTGGTCGCGTGGGAAAAATTGTGTCACTGTTTCTCTTTGGGGTCTGTGCTGGTCTGTATGTTTTCAGTTCTCTGTGGGTAAACCAGTCTACTGTCTGTCTTGAGTGCTGTTTTCACACTGAGATTTTTGGGAACTTTGGTTGCTGCTTTTTGTCCAATTCTGCTGCCCTGTTTTCAACCAGACTCACTTCAAACATCCAGTCCTCTTCTTCTTCCTCATCTAGATGCATCTTGGTCTGGCGCAGCACCTGGCCCTGTGCGAGCGGTTCGGACGGCAGGTGAAACTCCACCCTCTGCAGGTTGAAGCCCAGACCTGTGCCGATGGCTTTGATGAAACTCTCTTTAAGGGCCTTGGCGGAAACGGAGGAAACGGATCGGTTACATGCAGAAAATGATCATGCGCACATAAGGGTGGGGAAAAAAAAAAAAAAAGAAGTTTGTTTGTCTGAGAAAGGCGAAAAGGACAGTCTGCTTGTGCTTCTTTTTGCTGCTTTTGGCTAAACAGCACAACTTAAAACCGCAGCAGATGGGAAATGTATGCACACATGTTTAACATTGTGTGTACAAAAGAGGGTCTTTGTGTTTGTGTGTGAGAATGTGTGTGTGTGCATGTCTGGCCAAAACCAACCCTCCTTGAGATCCAATAAGCCACAATAACACTATTACAAGGCTAATCGCTATGGCAACCGTTGAGCTCTGCCATTAGTCAACAGTGTGGTGGTGATATCAGAGCTTGACGTCTCTGTGCCACCCTCTCAATCTCACAGCATCTTTACTTAGCTCCACTGCTACCTTCACTGACCATCTGTGTGTGTGTGTGTGTGTGTGTGTGCGTGTGTGTGTGTGTGTGTGCGCATGTGTGTGCGTGTGTGTATGTGTGTGAGAGAAAGAAAACGACAGAAAAGAGGAGACAAACAACAAAAAGGAAAATCAGGAGAGGACTGTTGTGCAAAGAGGACGCGCAGAGACGCAGGAGGACAGAATGTGAGAATCAGAGAATAACGTGATTTGAGTCGCGTTTGCACACGTATGTGCAAAATGTACAAATGTGCATTTGTCTCCAAAGACGTTGGCAATGAACGTGCAAAACGCCGCCCGCGGGGCCCAACAGCAATGCAATGTGATGACAGGGTAGTATGGTTGCTATGGTTACCCAGTGGCGGTAGAACGCAGCGAGCTGCTGGTGCTCGGAGCCGGCTGATTGGATGATACTCCACTCATACGCTGTAAACTGACGAGTCATGATGCGGAAAAACTCCGGCACAGAGCTGCTACCTGGAGGGGTGGAGGGGTGGGGGGGAGGGAGGTGTGAGGACATAAGAAAGGAATAAGGAAAGGATGGACATACAGACAGAGAAGGGAAGGGAAGGAGGGAAATGATGGAAGAGAAGAAAGAGGTGAGAAGAGGCATGTGACGCAAAACAGAGATAACAACAAGGCCCTTCATAATTACGCCTGTTTTTGAGGTTAGTGTGGACTGTTTCCTCTCTCAAAAATATCTGACTGAACTGATAAATGTGATGATAACACACACACACACACACAAATCCAAATTTGCACACTCAAGCAGCTGTGACCGGGACTTTGATATATGAGACAACAGTGACCTGCTGTGGTAGAGTTGGAGAACTACACAAATACAACTAGATCTTCCTTCAGCTTTTGACTGAGGGTGATCACATGTATAGCTAGGTGACCAGATTTGGCTGTTTGCTGGATTAAAATGACAGCAGTTTTTTGTATTTCAATATTCAAAACTCCTCTCCAGGCATTAATCAAACCCCTAAAAACTCATCTCCATGTTTCAAAATTACAATGGCTTACTAACTTTACAGCACGGCTCCCTCAACAATATGCTGATTCATGAAATCCTCACATCTGTCTCCCCACACAGTTATATGCCGTGCACTGCATCTCAAGCACACCAACACACATACAAATCTCTTTAAACACTGCAAAACATCTGTAAGATGTACAGATGTAATTTTAAAGTAATTCAGCGACACGTGTGGAATAGAAACCAATTCTGAAGCAGTTATTGATACAGAAATCTCCGCCCTGATGCACGTTTGCTGTGCTTTTTTTGTTTTTTTGGGGGGGGGGGAGGTGTCATCCAGAAAACTAATCGACAGTCAATCACAACTAAAGGTTGTTATGGAAACCGTTGAGGCATTTGTTTCTGTAACGACAAGGGTGTGTTATTCAGCTCAAAACATATAAAGCTTTTTTTTTTTGAACTGTGAACCCCAGCGTTTACCTGGCATGGTAGTCTTCATGATATCCACTCCGACCTGCATGCCTTGTTCTGCAGCGAGCACAGCGTAGTCTCCTTGGTGGGAGAGGTTGAAACTCCAGGCTGAACCTGAATCTGAACTGACCTGTGAGCAAACACCAAGAAATGTTCCAATTGCAAAAAATTTTAATTATATGTAAAAAGACATGGACATCAGGGAACTACTTTGGTGTCTTCTGACAGCTAACAGTTGTGTCTTTCCATTTAGCTGTGGATGTTCTAAATTGAAATGTAGAAAATGAAGCCAAATTGAAGCTGGAGTCCAATATAGCTACTTTAATACAAATAAGTCATGTCTTAGACTTAACAAATGACCAGTGTTCAAGCTACATCTATAACTAATCTATTCATGCTGGACAACATAAATCCACCCCAGCAATGGATCACAGACTTTTTTCTAGCGAGTCTGTGACTCAGCCTAATTTTCATTACCTAAATGTTATCCACTGCTGGGCCAACTCATGCTGTGCTGCCAAACTTTGTTAAAACCTGCAGAACTTTTAGGATGGTGTGCAAAATATTATGGACAATACATCCATCCAATTAATTGAATTGGAGTTGTAAAGACACAGAAAATATGGACTCGCTAATGGATCACTGCCTTAATGTAATAACTATAGTTTGCTACAGTTGAAGACTGACGTGGTTTTCGGAAACGCTCAATGAGTAAAGGAATGGGGTGAACCTTCAGGGGTGCAGCCAGGTAAGGTTTTCCTCTGGGAGATCGCTCCAGCCTGATCTCTGACCAGGGGACGCCCATCTTCTCACACACAAACCTTCTGAGCAACAACCGCCCAGCCTGTTGGGGCAGACGTACAGTTATTGTAATATACATCATACAGCTTACAACAGAAGTGTTCACACCCCTGTACAACCATGTATCACTTAAATATCAAATGATTCAATATTGTATGAACTTACAATAATTCCATAGGTCATAGTTTTCACTTAAAAAAAAAAAAAAAAATCTTTCAACCCTCTTGTGTGATATTGGCAGTGTGCTTGGGATCGTTATAATATTTCTCTCTGATAAGCTGCTGGAGACTTGGAGTCACCTTTTCAACTGGTATTCTGCCATATTCATAGGCTTTCATATCATCTATAAATGTCATCTCCCCTAAAACGCTTGCACTCATGCAGCCCCATAGTATCAAACTCCCACCTCTGTGCTTCAATATCAGGACTATGCATGAACTGTGGTAGGCCATCCATAAAGTCTGGCATAATGCAATATCCTTCACACTGTCTGAGCTGTCACAGAAACCCTGATTTCCACTTATAACCCCTCTGAAGCACGTGTCTGTCTGTTTTTCACAGCTAGACTCTGCAGTTAGCTCAGTGTCTGTGGTGTCATTTTAAGAAGATGAACACCGCAGCTCTGACTCGTGGTACAATGGCTTGTTCTAAGCCTCTTACTTACAGCTGCAACTGTATTCCCACTGATTTTAAGTTGGTTACTGCTCTTCCAGTATCCTTTGTTATCTTTGTGATGGCTCACAACCAGATTTTTCAATTCCTCTGGCAATTCCTTTCCATTATGGGGCTATGATACAGAACATTCACACAGCCAATAGGTCCAAAACTGACTGGTGTGAGTTTAAAAACAATGTCCATGCAGGTAGACTAACATTTAAGTGATATTGCAATTGCACAGGGGTTTACTCATTTTGGTAGTATATTGGAGACATCGTGTTTTGACAAGTGAGGCAGGAATTGCAGAGAGTTTATTATCAGACTCACCATGGCTGACTTAGCATCCTTGGCGAACACAAACTGTCCGATCCTGTCTTTCTCTTCCCGCTGGATGCAGCGAGCAGCGAGCAGCCAGTCAGACCTGCTGGGTGTCCACGACCCGCAGCGGAAAGCCCACCGGACAGAGCCCATCTTCTCACCTCTGTCATGTGGAGCCCTTCACAACTCCAGGCTGCTCACAAGTTTTCAGTGAGCTAACGTTAGCATCGCGCGTTAGCATTTAAAGTTTGGGTGAGAAGTTCGCAAGTTTTGTACTTTAGCTATTTAGAATTTCACAGCTTGGCAGCGGGGAAGTGAAGGCTGACAATAAAAGCAATACAAAAGCCGACTTTCTGTTTACATTTTGTTTTTGATGGCGGTGCACATGCCCGGAAGAATCCGGCGAGACTCAGTGGCGTCATAAGTGGGCGCGGTGGAGGATTGACCAATAGGAGAAATAGAAACGGTGCGCCACTAGCGGTGCATTAAAATGTCCTCAGGAAAATTGTTAACACGACATAACCGTATTGAGCTTTCAAAAAAATCTGCAGTTTGAAATAAAAATGACAAATGAGATTTAAGAGAAACCCAACTGGGATCCACTGACTGCAAAGACACTACATTTTAACATACTTATTTAAGAAAAGAAATTTTAGGCAGAATACATCATTAAAACTGAATCGTATTTTTCTTTTGGGCAACAAAATAGGAAAAGTAACGTGCACAAACAAAAGAAAACTAGGTGTTTCTTTTGCCAGATCAAGCATTGTATTCCAACAACATTATAACAACACCCGACTAAAACGTACAACGAATATACAACTTAAACCTGGGAATACTCATTTTCTGATGGAGCCCTGAAAGCAGCATTAAAATTGCAATTCTACGGTGTTGTTTTGATTGCGGTGTATCTGTGTGCGTAAGGTGAGCTGTTTTTACTACACGTTACAGATCACGTTTTATTGCAAGTGGTGGTAAGAGATAATACATTACATTTCTGATTGTGGTGATGAAATTGTGTTGTGCTCCTGTGGTTAGAAAAAAATATATTCAAAGGCTGCTATTCCTCGAGAAAAAATATTAACTGGAAATGCTTAAGAGATACTAAAGGGCATAATCAACATGCACAAACTGCTTTTAATCTACAGATATTTTGTATTCTAGGCTAACAAAACCTAAATGCCGAACACATGTACTATAAATGACTCCCTATATGAAACAATAATTTTACTTTTTACAATAAATGTATTATTGTCGTATTAACCGTCTTTATATTCAGCATTGACGAATTGCATTAATGTTTAATATGCTGCAGAGAAAACTGAAATCTTAGCGGTATATCACTGGTGATATATCCATCATAGGCATTTATAACCTCATGAGCTGCATGTCACATTGCCAAGGCGTAGTTGTTTGTGAATTAGATTCAAAATGTGACATGATGAAATATCTTCAAAGCTGACTGTCTAGCCGATTTAACAGAGAGAGAGAAGAAAAAAAAAAACATCTTTCTGACTTTTACATTGAGGTAGACAAATAAAAAATGCTTAACATGTGAACATTTTTCACCAAAAAAATTGACAGACTTGCGCTTAATACTTTCATGCAAGCCTGTTTCTCCATATTGCAACACTTATTCACAGCATACTGTACTGTGAGGTATGTTTCATGTTCATCCTCAATGAAATGCTCCTTCTCTGTGGTTTTGAAGCTTTTTCCATATTGAATTGGGGCAAACACATTTGAGATTATGGGTTATTTAACAAATTGCAACAAACTCTCTGTATACCATAAATAACATTAGCTGCTCTCTGTTTTACCTACAGGAGGCCTTTCAGATGGTGATGCTTCTCTACATGTGTAAACTCACCTGGCAGCAGCCGAGTCAAGGAAGTAAAGGTGGAAACTGCTGCCCGCCTTGTTATAATAATTCTGGCTGTAGCTACATCAAATCAGCACCATATCAAGTCCTTTGATACCACGCACCTCTGACCTCCCTGCTGGGATTCACGCAACTCAGCATACTTCTTTCCAGCTGATATTTCCTTAACTCCAAGCCTCGCATGTCCTCACGCAGAGGGAGCATCTAGTGTAACAGCTGGGATCTGTCTCGCAGGTGGAAAGTTTCCCAGAGACTGCTCGAGCCACAGAGGAATTCCTCCCTGATGAGAACTGTTGTGCCTTTGAAGAAAGACACGGACTAACCTTTATGACAAACATCCACACTTCATCTAAAGACTGAATTCCCTTACTTTGACCTGTGAGCTGTCTGTCTTTACACCCCTGTTTCCATCAGTCCTCTCTGATACAGCTCATCTCTTCTTTCATACCTACAGCTCCCGCTTCACTGTATCTTTTTGCTTGCTTTTTTCCCCCAGCTGTCTCACCTTGCCTCTGTTTCTTTCTCTGGATCTCTGGGGGTTTCCGTCCCCTCCTTGCTGCCAAGCTGGATTTCCTGCAGGTGAAGCATCTGAAGAGGAAGAGGAAGAGCAACTACAGTGTGAGAGAAACTCAGGCTCTCGTCAGGGAGATCCACAAGAGAAGAGACGTGTTGTTCTCCAGACAGCAGGTATGGATTTCCTCTTCTCTTCTCTTCTCTTCGCTTCTCTTCTCTTCTCTTCTCTTCTCTTCTCTTCTCTTCTCTTCTCTTCTCTTCTCTTCTCTTCTCTTCTCTTCTCTTCTCTTCTCATAAAAGCTGATTAACGTGGTGACCTAGACTATGTAAGTTTCACCCTGTTAGACAATCACAAAGTGATAAATAACCAGTAATGTAGTGCAGGATTTTCAGTGAGTGCATACAGTATTGACAGATCTTTTGTTTTCTACTGACTAATGCATGCACTACACCTACTCTTCATTTGCATGCTCAGTCACTGTAAAAGTGTCTAGACAAAGGACTTATTTTCTGTGATCTCTGTCCTCTGAAGCATGAGTCAAGGTGGAGAGATTAAAAAGAACAGCTCGCACACAATTCATCTAACTCTCCTGTCTTGCTGTATCCAATTAGCAAATATTTTTCCTTCTATGTTACACATTTAGAATTTTTTCCCATGAAAATAGTCCCTTTCTGCCTTAAAACAGGTGAAACGTAACTTTATGCTGTTTCCTCCTTTTATTAAGTCCATCTATGACATCCTTGTTTCTGTCTCCATGTAGCCCTCCACTTTTGCTGCAGCTCAAACACACCAGCTCATCTGCTCCAATGTTGTAAAACTACTTTGTGCTACACAGTGGAAAGTTGGAGTAATTCATTCATACCTTTTGAAAACTGATTCTGAAGAAGAAACATTATTTGGAAAAACCCTGCAAGTTGACAGGAGCGGTTTGTTGTGTGAAACCCTTGAAGTCTGAATGTGTTTTGGTGATACTGTCACTGGTGCACTGCAGTTCAATTCAATTTGATTCTATTCATATAACTCCAATTCACAGCAAGTCATTTCACACACTTTACCTGGTAGGGTCAAGTCCTTACAATATTATATTATATAGCAAAACCTAAGAAATACGACGATTCCCTTTGAACAAGAGCTTTGGCAACGGTGGGAAGAAAAGCTGGAAATACTCAGATGTGGTGTTGACTGCTTGTTATTCTCATTGTGTCTTCTTGACATTAAAAGCACCCCCATATGGACATGTAAACAAAGTACAAAACTGGATTCTCGCCAGTGGGGGTCTTTAATGAATTTTTGATAATGCTACAGAATTTACAGATGTGAGAAAAACAAGTAGGGAATTGACGACTTCTTTGATGTATTTGGACAAGCAGACACTTGATCCTCTTTAAAACAGTGCAGAGTAATAAAGTTAATTTTATTTTAGGTTTAAATTAACACAATTTGAGTCAAAATAAAAGTAACACCAGACGAATGTGCCCAGACTAATTAACCTCTTAAGACCAGAACTCTTGTTTGATATGCATTTTATTTCTCTTTGCTATGTGATCTGATCAAATAGCAAAGAAAAATAAAATATATTTTAGAAAATAAAAATTTTAAAAAATTACTACTGTGGTAATATAACCCAAAATGTGATGGTCACTCATGTGGACACCAGATCTTAAGAGGTTAAAATGAAACTACAGTATAGAAGCAGCATCTCCATTTTCTCTATCTGAGCAGATAGCGTAGATATAAACTGCAAGATTTACATACTCTGCCTTAGTCACATTTCAAGCTAATGCATAATTATTGGATTTGTGTTTTCTACAACAACAAATCAATGATTGAAGTTGAGAGGTTAAAGTTTTTATTTTTTTATTTAAAAAAAACACAAAAACCTGACACTGAATATGTAACTACTAGCTCAGTTTAGCTTTTCCATCCCGGTGAAGAGAGTATGATTGTATTTTATGGTACGAGATGGTTTTATTTCTATTATCACTTCATTCTGTGAACTACAATTTTTTATTCAATTTAATGTTTTTGCTCTTTGTTGTACAAGATGAAATTTATGTGGCATTTAGCTCTAAAAAGTACTGGTTGGGCTACACATCACAGTGTTTAGTGATGTGGCATCTTTATGTTTATAGGAAAACTAGCATTTCCATTGTTTTGACAGGAGCCTGCATTGCTCATGCTGTCCTGCTGCTGTACCACAGCTCTGGGCTGTGGACAAAGATCCATGTTAGGAATGTTAGAATAAAACGGTCTGATGGTTGCTTCTTGTTCTTTGTCTCTCCTCTGTGGGTCTAAACAGAACACTGCCATTAATGAGCTGAAGAGGCAGGCATGGGAGGAGGTGGCCCAAGGTGTGAATGCTCTGGGGGAGGGCGAGCTACGTACTGCTGCTGAGGTGGGTTTGACGTATATTTCATATTTTTACATTCACACAGACTTCATTTTTAATTATCCATCCACCTCTACACTTTTAAACACGAGCTCCATTTCCCTTCGATGTCTTGTGCAGGTGAAGCGCCGTTACCTGGACTGGCGTGCACTAACGAAGAAAAAGCAGCTGCAGGCTGAGTTCTCTCTGTCTTCCTCATCCTCCTCATTGACCATGAAGACCGAGTATGACCAATCCTCCCCTGAGCACGAGGAAGCTTCTCTAGGATCCGGCTGTGATCAGCTGCTTGACCTCTCGGGCTTCGCAAAGGACTGTCACTGCGACTGGCCGGAGCTGGTGGCTCTCGGTGAGCCAAGCGGTCAGGGAGTGATGGCACTGTCAGGTGTGAAGATGGAGGATGATGTGAGTTAATACAGAACGTTAAACAGGAACAATGTGTACAAGGTGGAAGCTTGGCTCTTATGCAACAGGTTTCCTCTACAGAGTAGATATTCTGATTTATCTTCAGAGTCAATTAAATAACTTTTCATGTAAATGAAGACTAAATTAATTCCTAAAACACTTTGATGTTCTTTGATACATAACTCATATTAACACTGTTGGTGTTATGAGAAGACAGGCGGCCTATACTGACATACAAGTATTACTAATGCGTTAATTAGCCTAATTAATGTCCTCATCAGCAGATGTTTAATACATCACAGTGATTAAGCAACACGCTATGTAACTCAAGTGGCTCTTGTTAATCCATTCCGTTGATTTGGTTCCTGTAGGTTCACAAGGTAGAGACCAAATTAAATTAAGAATATGGTAATTAATTTGGAGTTAATTAAAGAATGGCATTGAAATGCTACTTTTTTGTGATTATATTAAGATCTGTTTTTAGATCAAATCAGAATGTTCTCTCTTATCTCACAAGATAACACTTTATTGATCACTACGGGGGAAATTCAGGTCTTACAGCAGCTGAGCAAGCTACTGTATGTATATATGGGTACAGATGGGTGAGAAATTAAAGATAAACCCAACATAAGGTGTCTTTGTAAGGTGTTGGACCACTATATGCCTCCAGAACAGCTTCCATGCTCCTTGGTATTGATTCCCTGGAGCGATGGAGCACAATTCTCCCCCAAAATATTCCCTCATTTGGTGTTTTGATGATGGTGGAGGAGAGCACCATGGAAGATGTCGATCTAAATCTCCCATACGTGCCCAGTTGGGTTGAGATCTAGTGACTGTCAAGGCCATGGCTGATGAATCACATCATTTTAATCAAAACTATTTAGTGAGCCCTCATGCTCTGTTAATGGAGGCATTGTCTTCTTGGAGGAAACCATTCACATTTATCATAGGGTAAAGATGATCAACTTTGTATTGATTTACAGAGACTCTCCCCTCTAGAGTGACAAGTGGATCCCACTTATGTCATTACAATGCCCTCTACTGTAGAGGTCAAGTCTTCAGGTCTGTTCTCCTGGTGTACATGGTGAAAAATGACTCAGCTGACCACATGCGCTTTTCCACATCTATAGACCAATGCATATGGTTTTTGCACCACTAAAGCCTAACATATGCATTTATCTGGACTGTTCTTGCTGGCAGCCTGATCCCATGATGCCTTGACATTTACCTCTTCTGCTTTTCCTTAAAAATTGTGCTTGTGCAACAGCATCATCAGATGTGGGCTCTCGACCACAATTTCCAACCCCTGTTTCCTGATGTCTTTCCCATAGACCTAAATGCAGATTTTACTGTTCCGACTGAAACACTCACCTGTTCAGCAGTCCGACTGAAACTCCTGCCTTCTGCGCCCCAACACTGTTTCTATCTTGAAACAAAATCAGAATCAGTTGGGCCTACTTAGACTTTTTATACATCCTATGGAGCATAATGTGATGTGAACTGCTTAACTGTACCATGCGATGCAACTATGCGAAAAACATCTGTATAAATTGTGTCTTTATACAAATGTATCCATTTTTTTTTATTTTCGTTTGTCCCCATTTGTACATCTTAAAAAAATCAGGATTTTCTAAGCAATATACAGTTATAATAAAGATAATAGGTTTGTATGTGGGCTGCAAGGTGGCTCAGTAGTTAGCACTGTTGCCTCGCAGCAAGAAGGTCACCGGCTCGCATCCCGGTGGGGGCACCGGGATTTTTTTAGCGGGGAGTTTGCATGTTCTCCCCGTTCAACGTGGGTTCTCTCTGGGTTCTCCGGCTTCCTCCCACAAGTCCAAAAAACATGTTGAGGTTAATTGGTGATTCTAAATTGTCCGTAGGTGTGAATGTGAGTGTGCTTGGTTGTCTGTCTCTAAGTGTAGCCCTGTGATAGACTGGTGACCTGTCCAGGGTGTCCCCTGCCTTCGCCCTAAGTCGGCTGGGATAGGGTCCAGCGCCCCCTGTGACCCGAGTGAGCGGTGTATAGATACTGGATGGATGGATGGATGGTTTGTATGTCAGGCCAGGATATGATCAGCTTTTCACATAATTACGATCAGTTGGAGTCACTGTGTTTTATTTTGGGTTGTAAATCATTTAAGAAACAAAGCTCTATAAGAACCAGCCTGAGATACAGAATAGTGAGTCAAAAAGCATAATAAAATAACATAACACTCATAATTATACACTGTCATTCATAGAAACAACATCAACCAGGATCAGGAGGAATCAGGATTCTACACTTCTGATGATGTAATTTCGCTTTTCACCAGGCTTATGTGCTGTGACTTTAGAAGAGCACCCTCCAGCGTCTTATTAAACAGTAGCACTGCTTCTTCTTATGATGAGTAAACCGAATGTCATGTAAAATCGATAATGTGCCCCTTTAATGATCTCACTCTCTCCTTGTAGCTGGATGGAGATGTGGGCGATGGAGAAATGGATGAGGATGACATTCCCTCTCTCCTTAGCGACATCGAGTCACGCGGAGACGGGCACGTTGGTGATGTTTACTCCCACAACGACTTGGGCATGCTCGGTTCTTCAAAGGATCCGACTTCCACCACCAACCGAGATCTACCGCTGCCTGGAGGCCTGGTGGGAATGCCGGCTCTCGGGCTGGGCGGACTCGGCAATCACGAGAACCTGGGAGCGGGGTTTCTGGTCGCCGTTGAGAAACAGCGACTGGAGCTGGAAAAGCAACGGCTGGCGGTTGAGACAGAACGCCTGGCAGTGGAGAAAGAGCGGCTGCTGGTGGAGAAGGAGCGACTTCGCCAGACGGAGGTGGAGAGGGAGCGGCTGCAGCTGGAGAGGGAGAGGCTACAGGTGGAGAGAGAGAGGCTTAGGCTGCTGCTCGTCAGCCAGTCGGAGCATGTCGACTCCTCTTTCAACCTGCCACCACAGCAAGGCCCGCCGTCTTCCTCCACCTCTTCCTTATCCTCCACTCACGACGGACAGAGGGAGAGGGAGAAGGGAGGCAAAGGCTGGATGTCGGCGGTGAACCTGGAGACAGAGAAGCTCAATCTGGAGAAGGAGAGGCTGCAGCTGGAGAAGGAGAGACTGCAGTTTTTCAAATTTGAAGCCGGCCGGCTGCAGATTGAGAGAGAGCGCCTGCAGGTGGAGAAAGAGAGAATGCAGCTGCACAAAGACCATCAGTCAGTTAAAGTCTGATAAGAAAGAGAACAAAATGATGAATGAATCATCTTCTGGTCTGCTTTTGATACTGACAAGATCACAGTATTTGCAGCAAATAAATAAACACACATATCCTTAAGGAAGGCACTTAATTGATCCTTCCTGATTAGAATTTGGTCAAGGAGAAGCCCGAGATGGATCGTAGGCATATTTATGACCATCATGATGAAGCAGTGCCTTTTGATGTCAACATAAAACAACGCCATGATGATTAAAAAGTAGCATTTGTTCAGCATATTAAGCTGCTTGGTCCTAAACATATCTGATCGATGCATTGTGACAAGCTTCTCCACCCAAAAACCCCCGTGCATTAAATGTCTAAGATGTTAAACGCTGGGTTGCCAGTGCAGCAAATCTTCACTGTGTAGAAATGTTTTATAATGATACAGTATATATGAAAGAAGGATGTCTTGATGTCTTACTCTGCGATTATGCACTAAGTCAGTGCTGTTGTATCTACTGCATGGGTGCTTGCCTCTATAATTAAGCTTCCGACATTGAAAAAAAACAGAAGCACACACAACTGTTCTTGTAGATTTTTTTCGTGGTTTATGTTTTGCTGTCAAGTGCTTGTGTTACAATATCATTTACAGCATTAGTAGTGACTTTGGATATTTAGGTTTAAACTGATATTTTTGGCATTAAGCACAGAAGTTGCTATTAACATCAGCAGTGAGCAATACCAGGAACCGAAAACAAAGGCAGCTAAATGGAATTCAGCCATTATTAATGTTATAATTTACACTTTTCCTGCTCTGTCATGTCAATAAGGCCTTTTAAGATGTGATGTTTTTCGCCATTTATGATTTGTGGAAGAAATCTTGAACATCTGTGATGAACAGCTTCTGGTTGTTTCTTGATGTGCATGCTAGAAAGAAAAGAAATATTCCTTCCTTAATGAAATATTCTAAGTTCTGCTGTAAACATACTGTGAAGTGTAAGTGGATAGTGAAACCTGTATTCTGTTCCTGTACTGAAGGTTACATCATGATTACACATCACACAGAATGTATTGTCAATTATTTCAGTGGTTTTTCACTCAGTCCCATTTCTTTTCTGACGATGTGCCGACAGGCTCATGAGTAGTATTTGTTGAGAAAAAAAACTACAACGTCCAGGCAAATTTTGTGATGATCAGAGTTGAATAAAATCTGGAGTACATATTCAAGCCCCAAAGTACTGCTTTTGATGATCAACCTTTGCGGTTTCAATCATGCCTCGTGTTCTCAGGATTGGCTTTGAAGAATAATGGAAAAAGAGAATGAGAAAATAATTCTTTTTTTTTGGTCTCCTCTGTATTGATGCTCCTCAGGAAGCTCGCCAGGGGTTTCCCACAGCATTGTAGGCTAATAAGAAGAGAGGAGCATTAAAAATCACTTTGAGAGCATCACACTGATGGACCACGCAAACCCTGCATCTTTAAACACTCAGCTTTTGAGGATTTTACTAAAAACTGATGTAACCCGGTGACACTCGTGTTTTTTTTGTTGTTGTTGTTTTTTTTCTCCCTTTTCTCTTTTAAAATGTTTGTCTGTGTCCCAGTGGCATGAAAGCTTGAATAAACTTTTATTACTCCAAAATTGGAGCCAACAAACTCTTTCAATCATAAGGGAGACTTTTTTTAAAACTCTGAAATCACCTGAGCACACACACACACACACACACACACACACACACATTTAGGTCGTCATGGCAGGCAGATCAAATCACAAAGACTAGTTTATTTTTCCGTCCCAGGGTTATACTTTTGTCTGCCTGTGAGATGAAAGCTTTACATAAAAGGCTCCTCTTTAGCTCTCTCAGGATTTAGAACTCTTCTGAAAATCCACTATATTGATGCAAAAAGAGTCTCTCAGCATGCAAGAGGCATGCAGCGACTCAGCCGACTGCTGTCCAGACTGTGTGTGTGTAGTCATGCATCTGAAAGATGCAACCGTGGTCCTTTCTGCCACTGTGTTCATTTGTACATTTATTCTGGCCTATTTATTACATTCAAATCAGACTATAAGATATTACAGCTTAGAGATTTACTCTCCAAATAAAATTACAACTGGAAAAGTGTTAAACATATGCGAGGCTCGGACATTGTCCACAGGCTGAGATGCCCTCAGGTCCTCTGGCAGACTGTTCCACAGGTGGTGAAGATAAAAACTAAAAGCTGCCTGCTCACAGGTCGCAAAGCTCACTGCTAGCACAGCTAAAGGGTCTGTGTCCGAGGATTTAAGGTTTCTAATACCACAAAAGCATGTCTGACACTTGGTACACCCAGGTGCTTTGGGATTTGAAGAACAGTGGACATGATCTTAGATCTTTTTGCACAAATTTGCTGCGGACTTATTGAATACGATTTTTTTTTTTCAGTTTGCACAGAAGGAAAAATGCAGTTGTTAAGTCAAACTTGTTAGTATTAGCAGTATGCATTTTTCTATATCACCATGACAACATTTCTTCAAAGATAAAATGCTCTGCACGTGACAGCTGACATGTAACTGCAATCTGGTCAATAAGCCCAAAAGTGCAAAACAGTGATTTAGATTTATCTGCAGATGTGAGAAACATTAACTCACTGACAGCACAGCAATGTCAGTGATTATAATATTGATAAGGTTCTGATTAAACTGGTGGTATCCGATTTAAAGTGGGTTAAAGTTACATATTTATAAGTTTTCCCTTGAAAATAATTTCTCCCTGTCTTAAAATGACTTAGATGTAACTCTACACAGTTACCTCCTAGAATGTACAGCTCTGTTAAGTCCCTGAAACTCTCTTTCACCCATGTTTGAAAAAAAATAAAAACCACACAAGGAACAAGATGTCCTATGGTGGGCATCTTAAATAAAAATCCTAGTCTTTTCAAGATATCATAGTTTAACAAATTTCTGGTGAGCTTTGTTGAGTTTGACTCTTGACTGAAGTTGTTTAGAACTGCAGCATCAAGCTGCTTTGAAAACTGACATTATAATGACAAATGCAACAGATTTTAAATGAGTTTTAAAATGTTAAGTGTATCAAGGTGCATGAAGACACGAGGCTCACTTTGTACAAAAGTTCAGACAAATTACAGACAAAAGAAATGAAGGCTTTTTGATTGAACGTAAGCTAGAAGTTGTCATTAAAATATTCAGCAAAGCTATCCAATTTAGGTGAGAAAATTAAACTGTTGTGATCATTGGGGACTGGATTTAAGAGGCTGTTAGAACATTTAAAAAGCACCTTGGAAAAATGCTGCTTTTTGCACTCAGCTTTTAAAAAAATAAACACGTGCACAGGCATTACTTAAGTGGAGTTTTCCTTTGTCAGTCTCTTATTTGCAGTTGAAGGCTGGTATGTAATTTGATCTGACCATGAAGGACGGTGCTCACTCTGACTCTAAATGTAAGTTTAATTCAAGGAATTCTCGGCAGCAATGCAACAAATCCTTTGCCTTCGCTGTGAGTGTAGAAAGCGAGGATAATCATCCATGAACAAATCCTTTGTTGTTTTAATCAACTTCTAATCAGTTCCATTTGATTAACTCTTGAATCAAAACTGAAAATATTTTTGTCACGCTTTTCAGATGGCATTACATGAATAGCAATTTGATCAATTCTTTATTCAGTCAGAATAAAAAGGATATTTGTATTAGTTTAACCTTGTAGACTCTAAGCTGTGTGTTCATTTGTTGTCTTCTCATGTGGATTAACTATTGGTTTGTATATGCATATGTATAGGTAAGTATGTTCTGGGGTAACCATACTTCACAGCAGTCTTGAAATTAATTGACCATAGCAGCTGCAGCACAGGCAGCAGCAGCAACAACAACAACAAAGCAGCAAAGAAATGAGCTGTTTGTGCACGCTGAAAGTGTTGGAATTTAATTTTCTATCCGATCATGAGAAACGCCTCAAAGATAAAGAGAGAGGAGGGGAAGGTGGTCATGACAGGAAGGGAGCAGCGGATGAGAAATCAAGGTTTGAGATGGATTCTCTTGAGAGAGGGATGCAGAAATGGAGAAATGAAGTATGACAGGAGGAGGGAGGATAAAGAGAATGAGCAGAGGGATAGAGAGTGAGAACAGAGGAGAAATAAGGAGTGGCTGAGCAGAAGGGGGGAGGATAATGCAGAGCTGAGAAAGGGGAAAGACAGAGGCTGAGAATGATGAGACGAATGGAGCCAATAAGAATAAAAAGGTGAAAAAGGCATGCTCTCGCTCTGCAGTGGCGATAAAGGAGGCAGATTGAACGTGCGTGCGGACGTGTGCGTTCGTGCATCTGCACATGAAGCTGCAAGGTTAAAAGGGTGGCGGAGCCTCCCCAAAACTGCTATTTTGCTTCATCTTCGGGTAAATGGGAAATACTTGTCAGTAATAACCCAGCGTGGTGTGTGAATGCTCGTGTGTGAGTGTGTCTGTGAGAGAGTGAGTGAGACGGGAAATAATGGGAAATGCTTGTCAGTGATGGCTCTGCATTAGGAGTGTTAGGTCTCCAAGGAATGAAAAAAAAGGAGTCCAAATGACAAAATCACAGTGGGGGATTTTTAACCTCATAACGGCGGGATGAGACTGCACTGTGAGGCTTCAAATAAGCACAGAACACATGCTACCATAAAAACTCTGGTGAGGTTTAGAAATCCAGCTGTCCTTGAAGACATCTCAAAGCCACTGAGCTATTGATTTGAATTCTGGCTGGGATTTGAATTTGCTGTCCTGTAAAATCCTCTTAGATGACTGTGCTGTGTGCAGTGAAAATGGCCAACTACTACAATTACTGAATTTCTCATACAATTTCTCAACAAATGTCTTTTTTTTTTTTAAGCCCTGCTATCAAACTGATGTTAACATTTAGCTCAAGGTGGTGGTGTACCATAGATTCTCTAACACGATGGTACGCTCCTATTTTTGTTCATTATTGTAGATAATATTTAATGTCTGGCATGTGACTGCGTTGGTGTGTAATGCATGAATATTCATTTCTGGTTTTACAAGTCTGTGACACTGT